TTAATCGTAATTAATGTAATCGTATTTACAAAATATTGATACTAGCTTTTTCATGACGTAAATCACATGAAGATTACAGATATTAACGTTATACAAAACTGTCGGAATTATTATTATTGGAGTTCTAAACGTAACTGATCTTTTGGGCGATGCTTGGTTTGTGGTCATACAAAACAAAAGGGAATTATAATGAGTTTAAAACGTGCGTACGTAACTGATCTTTAGGATGATGCTAGGCTTGTATTGTAACCAATGTTTAAAATTCAAAAAATTTTTACTTGCACAAATTAAAATTTTGTGTAAAAGAAGTAATTTTATTATGAATATTTACATGCACAAAATTTTTTTTATTGCACAATAAAAAAATTTATATGCCAATTTTAAACCCTGGTTGTGTTATTTGGGGACATTTAATTATACACGAATTATTGACTCAATGAGTTAAAGAAATTCAAATATTTTTTTGAATCTCGACGTTTTTTATATCTTTTTGCTTTGATTCTTTGACATTATTTGGAGATTTTGGGATTCTATAGATTTTACGAACAAATTGAACAAATTATTGATTTATTACAATAATTTGATCCGCGTTCTTTAGATTTCTAATTTTTACTAGTCGTAAAAACTCCCTTTGCTTTAAGACCCACTCAAATATTTTCCATCAACTACGTTCTTTCCTATTCTTTAGTAATCTCTTTATCCCCAACACATTCTTTAACACATTCTTTTTATATTTTTCTTCTTTCAGATTACCTTATAATATTTATTAAGCTATTTTTTGAAATCACTTCTGAAATGGAAGCATACGAAGATTTACTTGCGGATTTGAATGGATTACTAAATACTAATTCAAAAAATGCAAACGCATTAAGACAACGTGGTGCGATTTATTGTGCAATAGGAAATTATAAAGATTCTCTTACAGATTTAAACGAATCATTGAAAATTGAACCAAATAATACATTTACATTACGAAATCGTGGAAAAGTTTTTTATAAGTTAGGTAAATATGACGAAGCATCCGCCGATTTCAATAAATCATTAGAGATTGAATCAAATAATGCATTTATTATAACAAATAGTAAAGAAATTTATAGTATTATCGATAAATATGAACAGGCGTTTTTAAATTATACCAAATTATTAGAAATTAATTCAAATGACGTGTTTACCTTGAGAAATTGTGGGGCTACTTGTCGTGTATTAGGAAAATTTGAAGAATGGCTTGTATATTTCAAAACCCCATTTGATATCAATCCCAGTAATAAATGGGAATTAGGAAGCAATGGTGAAATTTATCTTAAAAATGGAAAATATTATGAAGCGCTTGCAAATTTAAATAAATCATTAGAAATTGAACCAAATAACATAGATTCTTTGAAAATTCGTGGTGAAACTTTTTATATGATGAGTAAAAATGATGAAGCTCTTAAAGATTTAAACCTAATATTGAAAATTGAACCAAATAATTCATTTGCCTTAAGAATTAGAGGATCAATATATCGGAATTTGGATAAATATGAAGAATCACTTGCAGATTTAAATGAATCATTAGAAATCAGTCCAAATAATGTATTAGCATTGAGACTTCGTGGAAAAACTTATCGTGCGATGTATAAATACAAAGAATCGCTTGCAGATTTAAACAAATTACAAGAAATAGAACCAAATTATATATTTATATTATTTGATCAAGGAACAGTTTATTGTAGAATGGTTGATGTGGAAAAATCACTTATCAATTTAAACAAATTTTTAAAAAATTGTCCAAATGACTTTGATGCATATTTAGATAGAGGTTTTATTTATTATACAATGAATAAACATGATGAATCAATTGCAGATTATAACAAAGCATTAGAAGTTTTAAACAAACCAATAGAAATTGACTTCAATAATGCAGAAGTATTATATATTCGAGGTGAGACCTATCGATTGTTGGAAAAAGATGATGAAGCACTTAAAGATATAAACAAATCATTGGCAATAAATCCAAATAATATTAATGCTTTGAAAAGTCGAGGAGAAATTTATCGAGCGTTAAAGAAATATGAAAAAGCACTTGAAGATTCAAACAAAGTATTAAAAAAATATCCAAATGATGCATGGGCATTAGTTATCAAAGGATCAGCTTATTATGATATGGAAGAATACGAAGAAGCTTTTACATTTCTTGAAAAGTCATTAGAAATACAACCATATAGTTTTTTTGGAATGGATTATTTTGAATGCAATATAGATCCAAGTAGAATGGACTTTTACAACTATCATCTTAATACAGATTGGAATATGGATAATGATTTATATTGGGGTTGTGATGTAGAAAAATGTGAATATTGGGATCTTGATGTTGAATTTCTCACTAGCACGAAAGCACTAGAATACGGAGGGACAGAAGTATGTAATGAATGTAATCAACCTCGTGCAATAATATCTGTTATATCAACAAATTGGTGTCAACCATGTAATTCAAGTCGTTTTCAAAATAATTTTAAAAATTGGACCAGTAATAATACTAAAATAGATGACTTTATTCAAAAATTACAACTTGCAGCAGATAGACCATATAAAGTTATTGAATGGATTCCATTTAATAGATTACGCCTTATAAAATATATGACAAAAGGAGGATTTGGGTCTGTATATTCAGCTATTTGGCAAGATGGACAAATTAGAGGCTGGGATATAGATGATCAAAAGTGGATTCGTGTAGGAATTCAGAGCGTAGCATTAAAAACAATAAATAATCCAATAGATCCAATCTCAGATCTTTTGAATGAAATCGAATCAAATATTCAAGTAGTTGATGACCCACATTTTATTAGATGTTTAGGTATTACTCAAGATTCTAAAACACATAATTATATGATAGTAATGGAATATGCAACATCAGGTAGTCTTCGTGCATATATGAATGCTAATAATATGGATGCATATGAAAAAGGTCGGACATTATGGTCAATTAGTAAAGGACTTTATAATTTACATGAGAAAAATTTAATTCATCAAGATTTTCATCCAGGAAATCTTTTACTTATTAATGGATTTTTAAGTATTTCAGATTTTGGTTTATGCAAACAAATAAATCAAAAACCAAAATCAAAAACTGAAAAATTTTTTGGAGTTTTACCTTACGTTGCACCAGAAGTTTTGTGTGGTGAAGAATATACTATGGCATCAGATGTATACTCTTTTGGTATTGTTGCATGGGAATTAATAACTGGTTATCCACCATATTATAAAATTCCACATGATACTGATCTTGCATTACAAATTTGTCGAGGTTTACGTCCAAAAATTCCATCAAATGTACCAGAAATAATGGTTAGATTACTTAAGGAATGTTGGGATGCTAATCCCAAAAAAAGACCAACATCTAAACAATTATTTACTATTATCAATAAATGGTCTATGAGTTCAGCTTTTGATAAATTTATTTTACCAACATCAACATTACCTTCTTACAAATTACATTCGGAGGCAATTTATACAAGTAGACTTTTTAATACCACAAGTTCAAAACCAGTAAATGCATCAAATTCTACGAAAATATTCAGTGAGACAACTAAATCAACTCTTAAATCTCTTTGTGAAGGTAATAATTTATTTTATTTGATTCAAATATTTCTGTATTTAAAATATAATAATACTAATTTATAATTTTTTATAGTTTCAAAATCCATTGGATTTAGTAAATTACTTAGTAATTTTGATTACTGAGTACAACCAAGAAAACCATTTTCCATATTATATAAATTTGATTTTTTTTTTTTATTTATACTGTAACTTTCACATCTTTATAATTTATTATTTGGTTATTTATTTATGGTCGACCATTCAAGAAAAATCACGGATATTTCTTGAATATCAGATTAAAATTTTGTTGAAACGACACACGTGACCAATTTCGCCATATTTCAACATTAACACTATAATGCCGGTCATGCTGCGCCGATTAGTTTAATGCTGGCCATTTGTTGTATATTAAGTCACTGAATTATAAAACTGAATTAAATAAATTTGATTTATAAGTTTGTTATCGCTACGTTCCTGGTTTTAGCGCGACTACGTCGCGCAGCTACCCTAATTGTACGAAATTGAATGTTACTTTGTGCGAAATCAAATGCCACTTTGTACGAATTATGTCAAAAGGGATAGTTAGTTGCGAACTTAGTTTAAAGTTTGTGATTGAACGCACCGATTTTTTTCTATAAGCCACAATTCCAATCTGAATTGCACTAATAATGAAGAAAATATATGTTAGAGATACAATATGCTATAAGTAAACCAAATTTGATTATATACATTAATAGTTTCTTTGAGATTTCTGTTTGTCCGGGTCCTCACAGAAATCAATAGCCTTATCAAGGCATTTTCCGTACTTTTCAATTGCACGGGATTTATGTTTTTGCATGACAAAGCGAAAGAATTCTAGGAGAGTCGGATTGTTATATGAATCATCCAATATATGTGACGTTGTTTCATTTTAATCCATGTAGCAATCATACTTGGTATGTTATACATTTTAATTTTAATAAAAAAAGAGAGATGAGTGCATCTTGTTTACTAAAAGTTAATTATAATGACCTGTTGTTTACTCAGCAGCCGGCCATCCCTACACGATGACTTGCCAATTACTTGGCTTCTGATAGAACTTAGTTATCGCAGACGCCCTGAGTACTCAACAAACACCAAACAACTTTGTATCCCGAAGTCAGCCGGCCACCCCTACATGATGACTTGCCAATTACTTGGCTTCCGATAGAACTCGTTATCGCAGACGCGTCATTCGTTCTTAGCAAAGTTGTCGTAAATTGTAGAAAAGAAATAAAACCCACCTCACTCAAAGAAAACGTGAAACGGTTAAAGGTTCTTGATAAGACTTTATCAGTATTTATATACGTAACATGAAAGTTGATATTTGATTTTAGCCAATCAAAATTCTTAATGACTTGCAGCCTTTAATCACGTTAATCCACGTGAGTAAAAAAAAAAATATATATAAAGATGATCGGTTCATAAAAAAAATTCGGATCCAAACTTGTATATATACGTTAAGATATTAATAATTCTATATGGGTACTTCTGAAGATACTGTTTATTACTCTCTCTATTTTCCTTTTTCATCTTCAATACAATCTTTAGACCAGACATCATTTCTTCAAGAAAAAAGTGCTCTGATTTTATCTGAATTACACCAATTTCTTAATGGGTATATTTGGCACAAAGATAAATTTCATTTAAGAATTGTACAAAATGAATCAGGTATTATATTTATTTATCTCGTATATTAGTAATTATATAAAGATATTTGAATGCTGAATTTTTATATTTAGATTCAAGTTTTTCTTTCTTATATGGTAAAACAAGATTTGGTGACTGTATCGATGATGAATGGTTCATCGTTTTTTTGTTGAAACATATATCGATGAAATTTCAAGATGTTGTTGTGAGGTACTTTTTTTAATACACTTTTTAGGTTTTAGGTTTCAATCTAGTTTAAAGGCTAATAAATCATTTCATTTATAGCGTCTCCGATAATGATGGTGAATTTTTGTTAATCGAAGCTGCTATGCAACTACCTTCATGGTTGAATCCCAGTAATAGTGAAAATAGGGTGTGATTTTATATTCCAATTAGTAGTTGTTTTGCAAAGATTTTATTACATAGAAAAATATAATTATATGCCTATATTAAAAATTTGTCAGGTTTTTATATATCAAGATCAATTACATATAATCCCTTTGCCAAAAACACCTACTGAAATTGCTAATATTCCAACTGGAAAATTATCTGTTGATAAGGCGATTCAGTTGGTACGCAATGACGCTGTTGATACTAAGGCTGATAATAAGGTGCAACAAACCGTATTTTCAAAGACTTTAGAGTGAGCGATTTGATAAATTGATTATTATAATCTAGATATTCTATTTTACACTTTTGATCTATCGTTAGATAATATGATTAATAATTTAATAAAATAGGTATCCAGAAAAGATTAATCAAAATTTTCATTATGCGCGATGTAATATTCCGAGAGCCATAGCTCAAGTCTTGTATCATAATCCTCAACTTGTTGCTCCGGCTGTTGAAGCATTTTATACACGAGATCCTATTGCATTAAAAGTTTGTAAATTTATCCATATAATATTGTTTCTATTTAAAATAAATATATATATATATTTTATAGTCATGTCGAAAAATGCAAAAATTTCCTCCATATACATCAATTACTGTCAGCGTAAAATTTACAAAAACTTTATATGCTCAAATTGTAAGTCAACGATTTAACGCTCCACAACCTTTTATAATGCCAATGAGTACTTCTAAAAAGTATCCTGCCGCTGAGCTAGGAATGAAATTGGTTAGTATACTTAATATATTTAATGAAGTTTACAACAATTCTTTTTTTATGCCTTAGAATAATATAAACGTACTTTAATGTTTTGAAATAAAATTATTGTTAATGTCAGGCATGCGGATTTGAAATTCTTTGTACCGATAAATATTATACGAATTTATCATCTAAACCTAATAAATTGAATATTGAGGTGAGTCTGCCTTCATTTCTTGTTGATTTATTATTGCTCACGATTATCTATCTATCTATGCTTGATGTTATAGGCCTATCCATTTGATTCTGATCCTTCATGGAAAACATTTCACTCTAATTTGTTAGAGCAGAATTATTATCATGATGAATTACCAGATTCTATTTTATACAAACAGCTGGATAAAATTGCCAAAGAGCAATTTTTAAAATATCAAAGTCAGGTCGATTTGGTGTAAGTTAATTTAAGTTTTAATTCTTAATATCTATTTATTTGCATTAATTGGGTAAATTATCGTACCAGAGATGATTCAGAAAATTCATCTCCATTAGAACAAATAGATGAAATATTGAACTTGTCTATTGTTCCTGATGAAGTGTTGATGTCAAATACTAAGCAAGATGATGATTCTTGGCTCAATGTTGATCCAAAACAATTAGATGAGTTGCTTAATGCAACTAATAAAGGCTTCGAAGAGATTCAAAGCGAAGTAGGTTCAAATTTGTTTCTGCGCATTTGGAAATTCTCATGTATTGATCGTTTCATTTTGATGATATAATAATAGTCCGATGATGAACTAAATCCTATTGATTTGACCAACATGATTGATACGTTTGAAAAGTTTCTTGATTTTGAAGGTGCAAGTATTGAAGGTGCAGAGTTTCTGGGGTAAGTTTACTTGAACTTTCTTAAATCATATATGACATTTGGATAAATTTAATTATAACCTAATTATTAGTGAGCATATATCTGACGAGGATGATGATGAGGAAGATGAAAATATAAATATGGATGATGATTCGGATGTAAAAGTTGATCCAACTGAATTTTTAAGAATAATGAGACAAACTTTGGGTAATGATTTGATTATATATATTAGTCCATAAACATCTTAATCATTAAACAAACATGTAACATGTTTTATAGGCATTTCTGAGCAAGAATATAGGGAATTAGCAAATGAAAAGATAAGGCAGAAATCTGATAAGTTTACAAGTATGTTAATTTACAATCTATTATTTTATGTGGCTTTATATAACAAATTATTATATATTTTCAGCGGAGTTTGTGGATCAATCAGGGTCAACATCCTCTCAACAATTCCCTGAATCATTACCTGAAAAAATAATAGAATTAAATAACAATCTTGACATGGTTGCATATATGCAGGCATTAGATGCTGAACTATCATCATCAAATATTTCTGGATCATTTATAAAAACACCTCAAGAGGTCTTGAATCAATCATCATCAGAAGATAAAATAAACAATTATGAATATGATGATGATGAATTAAATGAACCAGTTAATATTGATTTAAATCTTGCTAAAAACTTTTTGGAAAGTTTTAAATCACAGGAAGGACTACCTGGGCCAGTTGGAAATATATTTGGAAGAATGGGAATGGGGGCAATACCAAGGGATGATGATGATGGTAATAATAATAATGAAGCTACTGGATAAAAATATCAATATTTAAAGAATACATATGTATTGTTTACTGCTAATTTAAAGTAATATGGATGGTAGAGAACATCCTTTTATGTGAAAAATAAAAATAATACAGTGCAGAATAATAATTCTGACTAATTGATTGATCTACTGTAGTCAATTGGTTTTTTTTCAATCAACTGACAGACTATATTTTTTGATTTGATAAAGTATGAGGAAATCACAGTATAAACAAACCAGTAATCAAGTTTTGTATACGAGTCACCTACCTTTTTCGTTCTAATAAAAAAAAAACTTGATAATATCACGAAGTATTTTGCCATTATTTCGGGATGCACATGTGTGATAAGAGCGAGACAATGAAAAATTTTTAATTTATATAAATTAAGTAATATATAGCATAGGATCTATTTATTACGCGAATTTTGTGCTATTTAGAAGCAATATAATATATATATATAGTTTATTAAGATTAATTTGTTAGTTCACCATCATTAGTCGTAACAATAAATTAAGCATTATTTTGCTTGTATGGTTGTCCCCTAATAATAATTTATTATATTTAAGAAAATGTAAGAGCGCTTTGCATAGTGAATACGAAATTTCTAATTACTGAACTATACACTAATATTTGTATATATCTAAATTTTTTTTTTGGCGTAAGTTTTTATTATTAATAATAAATGAATACCGGCTTAAAACGTTATGTCATTTCTTAAATTGACAAATTGGAATATAAAATATAAAATATATGTCAACTACAAAAGAAAGAAAGAAACCCCATTCGATGTCTCGCCGGATGAATTACATGAAGACTACTAAGATCTAGAGTAACTAAAGTATTGTTTATTACAAGTTCCTTTGCTAATGCTTTCCTCCTTCATCACTAAAATCATTGTCACTAAGGATCAATGTTGTTAAAGTATTATTTTCGTAAAGGGCTTCTGCAATCGTTTTGCATCCGACGATGCCGATATTGTTGCAGCCGAGGTCTAACAAAGTTAGGGTTATGTTCTCTTGGATAACCCTCTCTAGATCCCTCTCTCTTGCTGAGCCAAGATAATTTTCTGATACATTTAATGAAGTTTTGGTAGTGTTCCTGCAAAAATCTTCTATGATTTTTTTCATGTATTGTGCCGCCATTTATTTTCAAATTTTCAAGATCTTTGCCTACACGTAAAAACATTGCAATTAAAGACCGATTAATTGCTTTTTTAGCCCAGCAGGAGCACCATTATTTGATCCGATCCAACTTCTTACACTGTGATCTAGGTTATCCGATATATATTTGATATATTCAAATAATAGTTTTTCATTTGGAAGAGTAATATTAAAGACTTAATATTTCTCGTTCTTTGGCGTTTAAAAATAAAAGACTTATTTCGATAAGTCTTTTATTACCAAAACAGTCGTCGACTGTCACCCAAAGAAACGGGATGACAAGTCTGCACCAGAGACGGCAGATTATATATTAATCACTAATGCTAAAACTTCCAAGTATATCAACTCCCAAGTATATCAATAACTTGTCTAAGCAATCTTCCCCATTTGCCCATTAGATGTGAAATTTATATGCCAATTGTGTTTGGATAGAACTTTTTGTTAATCATTCAATGATGTATTTTTTAGGGGAATTTACATATAAGGGCCTGCGATTTTTATCCGTTATTTTCTGCACATAATTGTACAGATTTTTGCAGCTAATCTGGCCGGCACTACTGATATTGTCTGGTAGCTCTATGTAGGATTATTGATTTGATTTAAGACAATTATCATGTATTGTTTCGTGCTAACAATAAGCTACGCCTCAGTTCTGCAAATCCATCAGACTACACTATTTCACTGCGGATTCTGCAAATTCGCAATTGCAGAATTCTGGACACCCTAGCCCGGAAAATGAAAATAATTACAAATAAGGGCCCAAAGTGAAAATAATTACATATAAGCCCAAAATTTTACAATCAAGGGTCCAAATTTATCATGATTTGGTTGCAAATTTTTAGCATGTAAAATTATATAAATGTAATTGTCTTTTGACATTTAAACGTATTACTTTTTAATCAGTATTGCATTTATTCTCTTAACCGATTTTTAAAAGTAATTAAAAAATAAATCTAATCAGTCATTTGAACTATTTATGAAGACCAGTTTGAGTGATCAAATAACTGTGGTAAATCGAGGTATTGAGGGTCCAAGTTATATATATATATTTTTACACTAGATTAAAGGATTTGAATGCTTCAAAGTTATAAATATTATACTCTCGAATTATATTTTATTGATCTTACAAGTTTGTACATATCTGAGAAGCAAAGTTTTCATACCTTTTAATTTTTTATTTGTCAATAGAACAATTAAACTACGATTTTAATTATGAAACTCTAAAATAATAATAATAATGTTATGTTACTTTAATTAATGTGTTAGAAAAACGCGATTAAGTCGGCAGGAAGATAAAAATTCATCAGTTTGGTTTGCCTGATAAAATTTGATCGGCCAGGATTACTGAAGAATAATTAAAGATGAAATAAAAAGTTCATGATACAAAAATGATAAAAAAAAAGAAAAGAGGCCATCAAATTGTAGCTAAACTAATTTACTACAATTTGCAAAGGAAATTTAATTTAATATTTTCATATACTTTAAAAGGGACAAATTATTTTTTTTTTAAAGATAATGTATAGTTATTGTATGCGTAGCAGACAATAACTCGAATTATTTGTAAAATAATTCATTAGAGTTATTGGCT